AGTTGAGAAGGGACGAACAAGCCCAGAACACTATGTCGCACCGGTCACGAAGGACTGTCCCCCAATTAAGGGAAACTGAACGGGTTCGCGACACGGAGGCACGTGCACTACGAAGGCAAAATCTGGAGTTGAGAACAGATGAGCAAGCCCAGAACACCATTGGGCATAGGACCAGAAGGACTGTCCCAGTTTCAAGAGAAACTGAACGTATTCGTGATAGACTTGCGAGAACTGAAAGACGCTTAAACCCTATTACAAGACGCCGGGAGCAACTAAGAAATACTTCCCAAAGGAGAATTACTCGACAGCAAAGTTTGAGACGAGAGGAAACTCTTAGGCAAAACGCACTTGAACAAGTCCAGCTTCACAGATGTAATCCAGAAAACCGAAGAAGAGAAAACGAGAGGCAGCGTTTGAGGATTGCAGCGAACCGAGAAAATCTTTCTCCAGAAGCACTAGAAGAAGCTCGTAATACTCAGCACCAATTACGGTACTTGGCGCAATATGCGCAATATGAAGCCAAAATAAAAGAAGGGCCTACTATGGTGTGCGTGTGTTGTGGTGGAACTTGGTTTCCCCACCAAACCAAAAAATTGAAAAAGTGTAACATTGCAACAAAGCACCCAAATCTCGACGTCAACACAATATTTTACTTGGAAAATGAATTTCCGAGCTTATCGGAAAAGTTCACATTTTGTCTGACATGTTACCGTCAAACAATGTCAGGGAAAATTCCAAATATATGTCTTGCGAATGGACTGCAGTTTGTAGACATACCAGATGCCTTGAAAAATTTAACATGCCTGGAAGAACGCCTCATATCTCCAAGGATTCCATTCATGAGAATTATATCTCTTGGATACGAACGCCAATGTGCTATTAGAGGAGCAGTTGTAAATGTGCCTATATCAGTGGTCGAGACAGTGACCGCTCTTCCTCGCAGATTTGAAGACACTCACGTTGTCCAAGTTCTTCTGAAACGTCGCTTGGAGTATAATCATAGTTTTATAACGGAAACTATAAGGCCATCGAAAGTAATAGCAGCATTACAGTGCCTTATGACAACGGAACTATACCGCTTGCACAATATTCAGGCATCTGGAGGATGGTTGGCAGACGTTCGGAACCATGAATCAGTGCCTTTTATCGCCGATCCGGCAGATGAGCATATCGTCAGAGATTTGCAGACGCGCCATGAGGTAAATGTTGGAATCGAGCTAATCGGAGAAGATGAGATAAATCCAGGTGGTCAAGAAACACTTTTGGATAACGAGCTCATCGAAAACCTACATTAGAGCGAGTAGCAATAGCCCCTGGAGAGGGCCGAATTCCTATCGATATAACAAGAGATGACGATGCAGAGGAATTGTCTTTTCCAACAATTTTTTGTGGCAAAAAAAGGCGAACGACGCTTAACTACAGCAAAATAGTGAGGTCAGAAGTTCGCAGATATGACCGACGATGTGCACGTGTTGATAATTTGCTCTGGAAATATAAATATTATGAGTTGCAGCGCATTAAAGATGCAATTTCTATTTGTTTGCGGAAAAAATCTGGAGCCTCCAACATCGCCGCAGCAAATATGGTCGATACGAATTTTATTAGCAACTTAGTCCAACATGACGAGGGATACCACATCCTAAAGGGTCTCAGATCATCCCCTGCTCACTGGGAGGCAGAGAAAAAGAAGGTTTTAGCGATGATTCGTCAATTTGGGTTGCCATCGTTATTTATCACCCTGTCGGCTGCAGAGACAAAATGGACTGAATTGTTGGTTATTCTAACAAAACTTGTGGACAAAATGGATATTTCCGAAACTGAGGCAGCACAACTATCAAATTCAGAGAAGGCTCGGCTTATAAGGACAGATCCTGTAACCTGTTCACGGTACTTCGATTATCGTTTCCGACAAATGGTTAAGCTACTCAAAGATAAAATATTTGAGCCACATGTGCTTATTCATTATTACTGGAGGATTGAGTTCCAACACAGAGGTAGTCCTCACTGTCATGGAATGTACTGGATAAGTAACGCACCTACTCTGGAGACAGAAGGTGTTATAAATATTGACCCGATTGTGGAATTTGTCGACCAATTTATAACAACAGATGGAAGCAATCCAGAGGTGCAGCAATTTATTGACTACCAAAGACATAGGCATGGTCGGGCTTGCTTGAGAGATATAAGAGGTCAGCAAGTCTGTCGTTTCAACATGCCTTACCCACCAATGCCCCGAACTGAGGTATTATTACCTCTGGACGAAAACGAAGTAACGAACAACACCTGGCTCTGTTGCAAAAAATTAAAAATGTTTTAAGCCAACAGAATGATAATATGGAAGCAGAGAACTTGGACAACTTTGAGGAATTCTTAATGCATCCAGACATTTCCACAACTTATGAGAATTACAAATTAGCGCTGCGTTCCAGTTTAAAGAAGCCCCAAATATTTCTACGAAGGAAATTTTCAGATAGACTGCTTAACGCATATAACAGCGACATTTTGCGTTTGCATAGAGCAAATATGGACATTCAGTTTATACTTGACGCCTATGCATGCTGCAGCTACATAATAAATTATATCAACAAATCTAATAGAGGGGTATCTCAGCTGTTAAGACAAGCCATGGATGAAATAAATGACGGAAATTTCACAATTAAGCAAAAATTACAACACATAGGCAATAAATTTGTTAACGGATCGGAGGTGTCCGCCCAAGAAGCATCCTAAAATATTTTGGGTCTCCATCTTTCAGAAGCCAGCGGAGGAGAAATTTTTATTAATACGTCACACCCAGACAAAAGAGTCAGAATGGTGAAGCCGAAAAGTGATCTAGAAAGGCTTCCTGCTGATTCAACTGATATTTATGTACCGAACTTGCTGGATCATTATATTCAAAGGCCAAGTCGGCTAGGGCAACTCTGTCTTGCTGATTTTGCTGCATTGTACCGATTTTCAAAAACAAGAACAGTGTCTACACTTGAAAACGAGGACAATGAAGAAGTCGAACCAGTTGATGAAAATTCTGAAGCAAACGAGCTCCGGCTTCAATTAAATGATAGGAGCGGTTTCATCTGGAAGAGAAAGCGCCCTCTTATATTAAGGTGGAGACGTTTTAGTGTTGAATTTTCTCGATCAGACTACTTTCGGGAAATGGCTATGCTATTTTATCCCTGGCGTAGCGAAGCAGCTGATTTAATCGATACTGACATAGAACGAGTTTGTAATGACAACAAATCAATTATTGAAGAGAAAAAGCAGAAATACGACAAGTTCTCAGACCGTGAGCTCGAAAATATTTTAGAAAACTTAAATCAGCAAACAGCAGAGGAAGATGTTCAGGTTGATGTTACCCCTTTCTTGGATGAAGAGTTTAGAGCACTAGCTATTCCAGAAATCGGCAATGATGTCGACGTATTTCAAACCGATGAGCCACAGGACCCAAACTTGGAGGAGGTCAGGCTCATAAGACTACCTATACTTATTCAAGAAAATGAGCTGCTCTCAATTGTGCGCTCCTTGAACAGAAAACAGCGGGAATATTTTTATCATGTTCACCATAACATGAAGCTGAAGAGACACTTTTACGAATACATCGGAGGCGGAGCTGGAGTAGGAAAAAGCCGATTAATTTCCGCTTTATACCAGTCACTGACAACACGAGCAAATAGCTTATCCGGCAGTAATCCCGAGACAATTAATGTCTTATTGTGTGCTCCTACAGGAAAAGCTGCATTTGGGATTGGAGGCGTTACTTTGCACTCGATTTTTTCCTTACCGATAAACCAATCCTCAACTGAATTACGACCTCTCAGCAATGATAGTGTTAATTCTATCTATTCAAACCTAATAGACCTTCAGAAGGAAATATGACATCTGATGATATCGAGCTTATTAAAGCAAGAGAAACCAATTTTAACGAGATACCCAACGACTGTATTCATCTTTTTTATTCCAACGCGGATGTATCTCTATATAATACTGCAAGATTGGCTAAAATCGCCACAGAAGAGTTCATCTCTACAGCGAAAGACAGTGTGAAGGCGAACTCTCTTTCGGAGCGAAGTAAAACGGTTATATTGGATGCCATTAAGAATTTTAAAATATCGGAGACACAAGGAATGTGCTACGGTTTACAACTGAAAACCTCTGCAAAATACATGATTACGGTCAACATTAATACTGCAGATAGTTTGGTAAATGGAGCTACGTGCCGACTAATGCAAATTGACCATCGAGGCCCCGAACGGACCAGTAATTCTTTGGATGCACTTTTCCGAGCCAGGAATTGGAGTAATAGCACGTTCCAAAAAGCCTCACCCCCACGAATCGAGCTGGACACCAATTGAAAAAGTAGTGCGCACCTTCCAATATAGAAGAAACGAACAAGTCTCGATAGAAAGAAGGCAGTTCCCTATAATACCAGCAGAGGCAATAACAATACACAAAAGCCAAGGAGCAACTTACAGATTGGTTGCTATTCATACTAAGAAGGGAATGAGCCGATCAGCTTTGTACGTCGGATGCAGTAGAGCAACAAGTGCTTCAGGACTATTTATTGTAGGTAATTTTATTCCACCTAGACCTTTTGGAGGCAACGAAGTAGTCCAAGCACAGCTGAATATACTTCGGACATTAAAAAAATTAGAGACGCACTACAAATTTGCAACTGAGCGCCCAGATAACAGTCTTCTATTGTACTATCAAAACATAAGAAGCTTAAGAAAGCATATCGATGACATTAGAAGTGACCACCTTATATGTTCAGCGGATATCATTTGTTTTGCCGAGACTTGGACCCGTCCAGAAGAAGAATTACAAATCGAAGGCTATAGTATTGTGGCGCGTATCGATGGAGCAACTGAGACTGGACAAAGCCGCTCACGGAATGGAGTAATAATTTACTGTAAAACTGGTAATGAAAGTTGCTGTACCACAAGTTTCATTAAAAGTCATCATGTAGCCGGAAAAGTGTATCAGTTTCTGGCGATATCAAAACCAGACTTGGCAATCGCTGTAGTATACAGAAATCCATCTTTTTCATTACCAGCATTTAGAAGAATATTGGAAGAAGATATAAAGGAGCTGAGTAATAGAAATAATGGAGAATTAATAGTTGTTGGAGACTTTAATGTCTGTCGCATTACGTCAAATCATGTTCTTGGAACGCGCTTGAGCCAACTAGGATTGCATTCCTTACTGGAACATCTTCCTACTACAAAGCAACAAACCGTGATTGATTGGTTATTGGCAAGTTTTTCTGCAGACAGAACAAGGGCGATAACATATGAAACCTCATTCAGCGACCATGACGGGATATTTTTTAGTGTTGGCGATTAATGTTATTATATTCTCACATGTACCACATACGTTTGTATTTAAACAGTTTGTTGTAGAACACCTTAATTTACTTTATCATAAGTCTTTTTGTTTTATTTAATGTATTTGAAATTTAAAAGTAGTAGATAAAAATTAAATAAAGAATAAAATAACAAGTAAGAAAGTCTAAGTTCGGGTGGAGCCCAACATTAAATACCCGGCGCAAGTATTAAATATATGTTTTTCACCTTTCCGAAAGCTACCGCTAGATGGTAAGCCGGGGTGTATCAATTTTGAGTAAATTAGCGTCCTTAAATTTCGAAATATTGCAGTTTAGAGCATTTCTGAAAATTACCGCTATATGAAAAGCGGCTGTAAGTTTAGTCCGATTTCAATTATTTTCAACATTTTGCTTTTATGTGGCAAGCACAATAACCATACCGAGTTTGGTACAAATTGGTATAACGGTTACCGAGATACATATATGTAATCATAAGTGGGCGGTGCCACGCTCATTTTCCAAAATTTTATCATAAACGTCTTTCTTGGTAAAGAATTGTTGCAAGCATCAAGTTTGAATAAATTTGCTTTAATAATTACTGATTTATCGAAGATTTTGTATTTTTCTAAATTACCGTTATATGGGATGTAGGCGTGGTTATCGTCCGATTTTAAAAATGGTCGGCCATTTGGTATGCTGTGCTAAGGCCAACAACTGTGCCAAGTTTGGAAGAAATTGGTGCAGCGGTTACCAAGATGTACACATGTAACCATAAGTTTGGCGTGGCTACGCCCATTTTCCAAAAATGTATAATATTCTCATTTTTCGTCTAAAAGTTATTGTAAATATCAATTTTGAGTGAATAATCTTCAGTAGTTACTAAAATATCGCAGTTTCCGTATTTCTGAAAATTACCGTTATATGGGAAGTGGTCGTGGTTACAGTCCGATTTAGCCCATTTTCAATACCAACCTA